AATCTGTGGGATTGTTCAGTCAGATAATACGCCGTCATCCTGATTGGTGACATTAAATGTCATGTCGGAGTCACAATCCAAGGCTGTCGCTATGTTAAGGCTGTTTTTATGGGTTCTGCTGGTTTTTCCTAAAAATCTGTCGGATAGCAGGTTTAGGATTGTTAAGGGTCGGATTATGGAGTCACAACTGTATTTTGTTTTTAAGAATAAAGTGTTAAAAACATGTTAAAAACTTAGCTTGTGTAAGACATGCAAGTATTGTTTTCTACACTGGATATCTGCAGGTCATTGTGCAAAATGTGTATTTCTTAACTTTATAAACTTTTCTACATCTTTGCATGAAACATAACACAAACATTTTCATTAACTCGCTTTAAATCTTCAGAACATTTCAGTTCAGTTCATGAACAGTTTTTGTGCCAGTAGATGTTTTACATCAGCATCTTGACCGAGCGATCGCCTGAAACGATCAATAAATCATCGCTCAGCTCAAACAGCTGGAAGCTAAACTTCAAGCATGGGGAGACTCATTACTCTGACGTGCTAAAGTCCGTCTTTGTGGCTGTAAAGTTTTGTTTTTATTGACATTTCGGTTAGTAATCAATATGAAATTATAGAACAAAGCGAAGAGAAAAGCGTTTTGTTTTTCCCGTGTTGTTTGGGCTCAAATCGCTTCCACACAATTCACACCTATGGAGAGAGTGTGAAGCTCAGGCTGGAGTTGTGTCGACAAGTTGAACAGAAACGTCAGTCAAGCCGAACTAGTGCGACTGTCGATGCGGCTTTTGTGGAGAAAAAGACCAGGATGGGCGTTTAGACATGAAGAAGTGGTTTTAGTTTTATGCAGACAAGCAATAAAACCACATTTTACTATTTAGGTCAGAGTTTCAGCTCAGCAACGGCAACAACGAACCTCCAGACTAAACCTGAACCTGATTGTTACTGAACCAACAAATCTCAACCCAGCAAACCTTCAATAGAACAGTTCAAATATTGTGACGAGGCAAATAGCCGGCAGAGACAGAAATGAACTCATCCTGAATTTGACCCGTTTAAATGACAAATCGTCCTGTGAGTCACTCATACATAATCCCGTAGCCGTGACCTTAGGATGATCCACAACACTTTTCCTCTTCCTCGTCTGCCAGAGATTGCCCGTTACGCAACGACAGACCTGCGGGTGTTGCCAAATCAAATGGATTTCTATCTGCGCCGAGGTTCTTTGGACGCGTCGCGAGCACACGTGCACGTCTGCGGCTGAATTCTGGCATTCAGACTCGCAGACTGACAGCTTGGGCTGCGTGCGGTAAACGGAAATCACACACCGACACAACTCAGAACATGCCTCGTATTCTAGAGCAGCTAGAATATAAGGCTTAAAGTTAAAAAGACATAATTCAAATTCAAAGAGGACGACTGTGCTTGTCTGCATCAGTGTGTGTGTGGGTGAGTAACTGCAGTGATGCAATCCTACCTTGTTGAGGATGAAGTGTCTGATGAGCATGAAGAGGAGTCCAGACATGAGTCCAGAGAGCAGGGGGGAGATGAACCATGATGCCACTGGAGTAGGAGGGAAAAAAGTGTAGTCAGAAAAAAAAAAAGCATGAATCACTCGTAGATGCAGTCAGAGACGATGCAGTGCTTCTGCTTTGTTCCTACAAACGTATGAGCAGAAGAACGTGTTTCTTCCTCTATCTGAGGTGCAGAGAGGTTTTTAAAGCGGGTCTCGTTGCCCGACGCCGGTCTGCCGAGGCTCCTAATGGAGGAGAAATTGGTTTCTGTGCCTCTTCTGAAATAAATTACTCGCTGTGCAAATTGGCCAGGGGAGTCATCCTCGCTGACAACAAAATCTGATGATTACTGTTTATGCTTTTCTGAGCTAAAAAACCTTCCTGATGTCAAACTGCACCCGGTGCTGTACTGGAATTATCTCAGTGTGGTTTATACTCTGTCAGGTTTCAGCACAGAAGTGGTAGTTAGGCGAATAAAAAACGACATTCTGTAAAAAAACGGAGGTGTTATAATGATATAAACACTGCACACACACACACTCACACACACACACTGGGCTCATGTAATCCTCACCGATCTTAACAAGCTGCATCCACTGTACGCCCTTTGTGCCGATGGCGACCATGGAGAAGCCGATGGTAGCACCAACAATGCAGTGAGTCCCGGAGATGGGCAGTTTGAGGAAGGAGGCGATTAGCTGCCAGACTGCTGACCCTGTGACCAGAGAGAGAAACACACCAGACAGTTTTCATACTTCGCCGGCCGCCGCTTTCCACCAAAAAATGCAGCTCTGGAACAAAATAAAGTTTGTGTTTTTTGTTTACTGCGCCGGACCGAAGGCTTTCTAAATGATGAACATGTGGCATCTTAAATGAAGGTCTGAGCGCCGTTTAAAATCCAAAATGACTGCTTTAGTTTTGTTTTGTTTGTACGAGTTGGCGCAAATAACCCGGTGTTTTAAAGCATAATCTGAAAACTGCTCAGACATTATCCTCCATCTCCACAGAGCGGTTTCCAGGAAGCCATAAAAATATCCACACAGGTACGGCATAAACTGGACGATAAAAAACCTGAAATCGCTAAACGGCCTTCGGTAATTGCAGTGCTTTCGACCAAACACGTGGGATTATAGACGTTTGGTGAGGGAATATTTTGAAGTCTGTGGATGTGGAGACAATGCAGAGAACAACGGTTTATTCATGGACACATCACGATAAAGTCACAGAGGGTCACAGAGGCCATTCGGTTTATTTTTGCTTTTCTTGGCCGACCAGCCTTTGAATGACGGACGCTCAGACCTCAGTGTGTCATCGTCAGATCTGCAAATTCTTTTTCAAAGCCCTAAATTAGACGCTGGCAGCATAAACTGTCAGGTAGAGCTCACAAATACACACAATTAGGCAATCAGATGTCAACTATTAGTTTAAAGACCATCAATTTATTGGCAGGGGAAAGAAATGGTCTGATTCCAGCTTCTTAGATATAAATATTTTCTAGTTTCTTCACTCAGAAACTGATCATTTTTGGGTTGCGGACAAAACAAGACATGCAATCTTCACTGTTTTTCAAAACCAAACAACTAATTAATTGATCAAGAAAATAATCAACAGAGAAGCCGACTTCCTGGTCTAATCCTCCTGCTCTCTTTGCCCATATTTCTCATCTGTCTCCTCTAAATAAAGGCAGAAAACACCCTAAAAATGATCTCTAAAAGGGAATAAAAACTACCTGAAGTATCTTCAAATCAAATAAAAATCTTCCTCTCATTCTGCACAGTGACAAACGCTTCCTGCTGGAGATTAAGGAAGAAGCCGTCCAATGTTTCCCCAACATTCGCTGGTGGCCGCCCGCCACACCTGCGTTTACTGCGACGCGGGAATCCCCCGTGCATAACACCGCCTGATTTATCAGCATTTCCCAGCAGCCTCCCTGTCATTAAAGCTGCAACTGTCTCAACGGGAGGCTCATTGTTTTCTGCTCTGCGCCGCTCGTTTGCCGAGACGTCGATGCGTAAAACGACCGCTGATCCTCGAGCTTCGCTGTAAATGCGTCGGTCGATCTTCACCGAGCTGCAAGATTAGTGAACAAAACGGAAACTTTTACAAAAGCTTTATCTCAAAATATTGTCATAAAGTTGTTTTTAAAACCTCGAAAAGACACAAAAACAACTTTTACGGCATTTTTCAAAGTCAGTAAAGTTGTGAAAGCAGCAGCAGCAGCAGATGTTCTTCGTATTAACAACTTTTAACAACCGCGAGCGAAACAAAACAGAGTTATGTAACGTCCACGGAGGCAAACAAAGGGCAGATAAAGAGGTGCAGAAGAGGGTTTTTTTTTTAAGTTAGGCTAAAGTTCAGACTCCAAACACGCAGAGACGCACAATAAAAGCAGTGATGCGCCTTTTAATGGACTCTGATCACAGCTGCACACATCGTCTCAGAGCTGGATATTGAACACAATAATCACACAGAAGGATCAGGGCGTGATGTAAGCATCAGAGAGGGCTGATATATGTTTGTGTTTGCTGTCAGGATAAGATACGAAGATAGAAAATCCCCAAAGGAGGCGTCGCAAGCACGTTTGTTTACAGTCGAAATTTATGCAACACATTATTTTTTTTAATTATTACCAAAGAGGAAACAATAAAGCCTGCTTCACAATAAATGTTAAATTAAACCTTTTACAACATATACAGCAATGACAAAGATTGTTGAAGTCATTTACACACATTTCCTCTATTTTAAATCACTGTAAACGTAAGACTTTGGGTGTTTTGATCAGACAAAATAAGTAATTTAAATCTGTCAGCTCAACTACAGGAATCTACTAACATTTGTTTTATAATAAAAAATAGCACATAAAGTACTGAATGTATGTATGCATTCAAAATAAGGTAAGAAATAGTTTTTCTTGGTGACATCGGGGCTCTACGTGCTGCAGGACTCCTGGTTCTCGCAGCTGCATAAAGCTCTTTATGACTCCGGCTGTCAGATAACAATCTAAACATCTAATGTCCAAACATGTCTGGGCTGAAGTTCACTCATAATCCAACTAATTTCTCCAGCAGCATCGACGACACGTCGCCCCGACGGAACAATATCACCGAGAAAACATCTGAGAAACTATTACACAGTAAAATCAGAGGTTTTCTCTTCTTAAGGACATCATCATCCGCAGATTATTCTCTTATTTGAGACTAGAACGTGTCAGAAAACGGGAATGAAGCATGAATATTAGAGTTTCCTGGAGCCTGTTAAGTTATTTAGGATTTTAAACAGAGAAATGCAGCAACTCCTTACTTTTGAGAACCTGTAATAAATAGTTTTAAGCGGTTTTACTTGAAAAATAAGACATAAGAGAGAAAAATGTGCTAATTCAGTAAACAGTTTTTGAGCTGATGCATTTATCAAGTTTGATTCTAAATGAAGAAGCAGCAGTAAAGTCCTGCTCAGACATGAAACAACTTTTCTGGCTTTATTTATCTGTAAGCGATGACTTTTTGTTGTCCAGGTGTAGCTGAGTTTGACTTTTACATTCCTTGCAGCTTCATTCAGTAAATGAACTTCTACTGGGACTCTGAGATGAACGTAAAAGTCTGCATGTCTGACAGGAGACGTAAAAGCTCGTCCGACTCACCAACCATGGCGCTGACCTCGCCGGCCATGAGCACGGGCACCGTCTCATTGTAGAGGTTGACGTCTATGATGCCCTTCCGGATGGTCTCTCCCACTTTGGCCCCGAGCAGCATCGAGCCCAGCGTCTCGAAGATGGACGCCAGGATGCAGGCCTGCTTCAGGGTGACCACGCCGGAGCCCACCGCCGTGCCGAACGAGTTGGCCACGTCGTTGGCGCCCACCGAAAACGCCAGAATGAAGGCAATGATGAAGCCAATAATCACCATCCACAGGTACGACTCCAGATCCATCTTGATTCTCCACGACAAAAAAATTCAAGCAGAGAAAAAATAAAACAACCTAGCTTAAATATTCTAAAAAGAAAAGAAGAAGAAGTGCTCTGTGCGTTGGTAGAGGAGGACTTAATAAGCCCGCTCCTTTTTTCTTCGTCCCCTGGTTATAAAGAGTTCGAGGGGAGAAGCACAGCCGCTAACTAAGCGTTTGGAGCTCAGTCCAAAGATTGGAGACTAGTGATGGTGGGAGCAGAGAGCATTCCATAGCTTAGTGTGAGACAGCCTGTCTGCACGATCCTTCACCTGCCGGGGAGACGAGAGAGAGAGAGAGGAGACACAGAAACAGATTAGTGTCATAAGCCATGATTACTCTTTTTCAACAGCAGCCACCATCTGACAACACCTCCCCGCGACTTCCTCAGAAAGCCTAAAACAAAGGGGAGGGAGGGACCGAGGGAGGGAAGGAGGGAGGAGGAGAGTTTATGAGAGCAGAAGACAAAAACACAAAACAACAGAAAAATTAAAGGATTTGAAACGATGATGCCGAACCGGGGGGAGAGCACTTCGCCGTGGACAGTCTCAGATCGCCAGAATAGGAAATCACAGTCAGCGCTTCAAAGAAATCAAATTGTTCAGAGGGCTCGCTGTCAGCAGAGACACTATAAAAAGCCCTGAGCGAGACGTGAGCAATGCTCCCAACATTAGAGTAACACCTTAACCCCACACAACGGGGCAGCTGACGTCCGCTGCACCTGATTTTATTTCACAGCTCTCGCCTTTGCCACACATCCGGGTCGTCTCTGGTAGAAACGTACGATCCGAACAGCTCAGACCTTCTCAGCACCATCACCTGTGAGGCTTCCTAAAACCCTGCTGACAGCCTCGTGGATGTTTGCACGGCAGATTACACCGACGTTACTCCGCTGGGTGACAGTCAAGAGGCACACGGGGAGTTTTGTAGCACGCTTTGGAGTTCAAACAAAATCAAAAGGCTTTTGGTGCAGCAGAAAAAAAGAAGGAAAAAAAACGTGGTGCATGGAATTAAGTTAAGACTGCAATGCAGCAAGAACATCAGCAGTGATCTCCTACCGCTGCTCCAGGTGGGGAGAGTTTACAGAGCTGCACTTTGGGGGGGTTCAGGTAATAAATTGATGATATAGTGGAGAAAACGTCACTGAATTCTCGATAAGTTAGAGGATGTGGTTGCTCAGATGTGCAATAAATAACTTGTGTGGACACAGATATTGCATGTGCTCACTACAGGACTAACATGCTCTCATATCCCATCTCCTTAGAAATAAATATATAAAGACAACTTTAAAAGCATAAATATTTAACGCTGGGATGTTCAGGAATCAGCCGTGTCTGTAACAACTACATCAAACATGCTCTTGCTTCTGCATCTACGACGTTAAGATGCTTTTCTCTAAACATCTTTTTGTTTTGGACGTGGGCGGATCAAAGTTGCTCTTCTCGCAATCAAAGCCGTTAATGAAGAAACGTAACGCAGAGATCAATCAGTAATGAAAACGTCGTCGGTTTATTTTCCCCGGCTAATCCAATTTCACATCCACCGGAACAGCAGGCGAGCAGCTTCCCCTCGTCGCCGCCGACTTCCACGGGGCTTATTTACATCACAACAATGACAAGCAGCGGCTTTAAAAAACACATGACGAGGCCACCAACAATGAAGCCTCCGGTGGTCCTGCAGAAACCTCCGCACCGCAAATGACTCGGCCTGGGTTCTCGTACGCCACATAATCAGAGTCATTTCATAGGGGTTAATGGCAGCGCATTTCCTTCTACGGTTAAGCCAGTTGTTAATGGGGGAGCATTAAATGTAAACAGCTTGGAGGCCCGACCAGTACATTCTCTCAGCGTGAAGCGACTGTGCGCTCCGTATCGCGTGGGGGCAGGCGGCTCCTTTCTAAATAGCCTGCAGCCAGTTATGGCTCCCTCCTCCCAACCAAGAGCTCCATCTGGAACAGTTGAGGTCATGTCCTGCTATCCTTTATCCTTTGTTGAACCACAACACACACACGCAAAAAAAAAAAGATGATAATAAATTGTCCCTTAATCAGGTCTGTGCCGAGACCTCCCCGAATCTACTACTGACTCTGAGAGTTACTACCTTGGGAAAGAAGCACGTTTCCTTGTCTCACAGATACCCTGTCTATATATATGTATAAAGGGAAGGAGGGCTCAGAGGTCGCCAGATCAGAGCAGAAACTATCTGATACTTGACTAATCCCTGAGGGGGAAATTCTCTCTTCACCTTCTTTCCTCCGGAGAGAGATCAGAGGATCCCCTCCGACTCTCCAGACGTCTGAGGCTCTCCGGCTGAAATGTCAATAAGCCAGTCTTGAACTCGTGTCCATCGAGATAATTGCTAAAAGGTTAAGCAAGTTAATAATTAATAATCAAGCATAACAATACAATCCCAGGCAGGGCTTTATCTCTGCCCCAAGCCCTAAAAGTCAGTTGATTGCTTTACTGCTTCCTATTTTTTTTTTTATCGCTGCTGCATCCAAGTGTGTTTCCTCATCAGGACGTTTTAAACGCTGCACTTGAGTTTTTACTTCTAACTTCAATCCCTCTTTAATACTTTTATTCAATGCTCCGTCTGTTTCTCGACTACTTAAACACTTTTGAGAAGTGCTCCATAAATAACAGCTCATGCATTGACAGTAGTTTGAGGAACTAACTGTGCAAATGTTGAATCCTGGGAACGCCGCCGCCACAAGAGGACCACATCGCACTTCCACGGTCAAACATGACCCTCCACCGAGCAAAGCCAGACGCCGCCGCGCCGAGGAGATCTTCTGTAAAACGGCCTCCGGAGAAAGAAAACCAAACATCGGCTTCGACTGACTAAAGAGAGGAGAGACGGTTCTCTAAACGGGGAAAGACAACACGATAGCTGCAGCTGACACTTGGTACAATCTGAAGAGCAGCTCACATGCCGCCGCTCCCACTTGTGCACATAAAAACTATTTTTTCTTTCCAGTTGAACTTTACAGCAGACTCACGGTGACCCGCGCAGTTCATAGTACAGAAGAGATGTAAACATTTTCTCAGACGCAGAAGAATGTTGAAGTCTGAGAGGATTACTTTAAAAATAAACAACCTGTCAGGATTATGTGCAGGTAAATCCAGAATGAATGTCTGTGAGATACATGCATCAGCCTTCACCCTCATAATCTGTGGAATCCAGGTATTTGCTAGCATGCTGAGCTGGGAGGAGCTGTTCCAGGTCCAGTAAGGATGAATCTTATTCATAGCTGAGGGATGAAACGACCAGTAACAGAAATGTCATCAATAAGGAATCAGAAGAACTGCTCGATTCTACTTCAATGCATCTGATGCAAACTGCCATGAAAGCACAAAACAGAAAAGTTAAGTTTGGTTCTATGACAAAATCCTAAGCGTGCTCCCTCCCCGGCTAATAACAGTCTAGCTTATGTTAATAATGAGCCCCTTCGCTCTCAGTGTCTCTGTCCAAAGGCTCCATCGTCTGAGGTGTGCTGGTCTGATGGAGATGACATCTGAGTACACGTGGAGGCTGGTTCCCATCCAGCGATGCCTCCCTGGACGTCCTCCATGTGCCTCCACGTTTTACTTCTTCATTTAATGTTTAGCAAAATGATTTAATTCCTTCAGCTTTATTTACGTATAAACGTACAGTCGTGACTGGATGATCCGACCCTTAACAATCCTAAACCTGCTATCCGACAGGTTTTTAGGAAAAAACCAACTGAACCCATTAAAAACAGCCTCAACATACCGACAGCCTTGGACATGAAAAGCCAAACCCAGAAAAATTCATTGTTCTGAGCCTGGGTGCAAACTGTGCCACTGATTCTACAGCCCCATGAAAAAAAAAATCATTTTATTTATGTATTTTATTTTTACATTCAGCCTTTAAAAAGCCATTTTCAACTGGCCATTTGATCAATAGGTTGTAAAAGTAAAAATCTGCAGTCAAATGTCATTTGTTTCCGTCGTCGCCACGGCTCCCGGATGGCCTGCTGCCCCCGCTGCTGGAAAACATCCTCGAGGAAACACTGATCTCAACCTCCGTCTTGCTATCCGACATGAAAGAAGGTTTTACATCTAGTGTCGGATCATCGAGTCACGACTGTATTTGTGTTTTCCGTTGCTGTGCTTGAATGGTTCAATATGAACTTTTTTTCTCCTCGTCTTTCCTACAAATAAGTAATTGTCAATATTGACTGAAGTGAAAGCTTTCATCGTGATGCCCAGATCTAACGGTCAAACAGGAAACGCTATGACTGATAGCTGAAGCACTTTCACAGGTTTGATCCAGTTCCTCAGCATCATCAGCACCAAGAGACGAACAGCTGCACGAGGAGATGCGTGGCTCAGGGCGACTCGACGGCTGGATGGTTCGGCTGAATACCACATGGGCACGCACGCCCTGAGCGGCGGATCTCCATTTTGAGTCACGGCCGGAGACCGTTCGCTGTGCGTCATGCTCTCCCACACGTTCCTATTCATTTGTCCCTTTCAAAAAAAGGCCAAAATTCTCCACAATGTGATTTTTCTTCTTTTTGCTTTAATAAAAACTTCAAGGTTAGAGCAGAAGTTAACTGTGACGCCTGAGGTAGCTTTCAGCATAAACCGTCCAGTCACCAGGCTGGAAATACTGTAATGCGCACAGCTAACAACCTGATAATAGTTAAAAAATTATAGATTTGAGGAAACTGATGGCACAATCTGATGGTTGAATCTGTAGGTAAATGTCTCCTCTGCTAACTATCAGTAGCAACCAGAGCACAGTGCACGAGTCTCCTGATTCAATGGGATTCTTACTACTTAACATGCAGATATTTTGGTGGTGGGAGGAAATTCTGCAAAACATTATGCAAACTCAACAGAGAGAGGCTGAAGCTGGTCCTCGTGGCATTTAAGACATTTCTTCTTCTCTTGCGATGACACAGTCGGTGTAAACGCTGCACTGAGATGTATTGGAGCAGATCTTTAGACAAGACAAATGTTCACCAAATAAAAATAAACAATAGTGAACAACACTGGCATCTGGCTTGACCCGTGACTCAAGCCGTCATCTACACATCACTGCATTACACAATACAACACAAGCACAAGTGGGAGGTACTGCTGAGTGGCTCGACCCACAACCTGAGGTGAGTTTGGGTGAGTTTGTTCAAACTGGGTCAAAAAGCGACAAAGCAACACTCAGACCAAGACTGTAAATAACTCACAGAAACATTGTGTGCAGCAGACGACTAATCCACCTTTCCTCCCTTCCCTCCTCTCTCCCT